GGACAAGTGGTTGAGAAAGATCCCGGACTGTCCAGTAATGGGAAACTACCCTCAGCAAGTGACAAGCAACAGCATCTTGCATCAGCTGGCCCAAATGAGGGCAAATAGACGGAACACGTCCAACGTTACATCCGACGACGACTCGGAGACGGAGGACGACGAAGGCGGCGCATCAGCGTGACCGTGGACTACGACGTCCTAAACTCATCATAAGGTCATAAGGTAACGAAATAAACCTAGAGTACAATGAAATAAACCTGGAGTGTAACTAAATAAACTTAGAGTGTAACTAAATAAAACTAGATTGTAACTAAATAAACTTAGAGTGCGATGAAATAAACCTAGAGTGTGACGAAATAAACCTAGAGTGTAACTAATTAAACCTACAGTGTAACTAATTAAACCTAGAGTGTAACTAAATAAACTTAGAGTGCAATGAAATAAACCTAGAGTGTGACTAAATAAATCTAGAGTGTAACTAATTAAACCTAGAGTGTAACAGAAGAACCAAGTACATAAGACAAGCAATACAAGAACTCATAAGACAAAACTGAAGGCAGGAATGGTACAAGAAAATACAGAATTACTCAATTGTGCCGTAATACGCGACACACTACCACCTGAGACACACACCACCACCTGAGACACACGCGACCACCTGAGACACACACCACCACCTGAGACACACACCACCACCTGAGACACACACCACAACCTGAGACACACACCACCACCTGAGACACACACCACCACCTGAGACACACACCACCGTGTATATACCCATGCCTCTAACAGCGAATTAATGTACGTATACTTCATAGCTTTGAAGGCAAGTCTGATGAAGAAAGATAAGAATTTAGGAAACTTTCAAGTCCGCGTTATCGACATTTATTTGGTAAACTCCAAGAGGTACGCGTCTACGCGAGTAGTCAATACAATAAGTACCAATAAATTTAATGTTTATGGAATGTCAATAAATTACACACGAAAAATTTTATTTATGTTGCATGGAGAAGTGACCTCCGCTGCACGGTTGGAAGAGAGCGTCTCGGGGCTTCATTAGCGCTAAGCCTGCAGTAGTTGTGCAAGCGCAGCCACATGACGGCCACATGACGGCCACATGACGGCCACATGACGGCCACATGATAGCCACATGACGGCAACATAACGGCTAAATTCTGGCTAAATGCTGGCCAAATGACGGCCAAATGCTGGCCACATGCTGGCCGCATGACGGTCACATGACGGCCACATGACGCCATATGCAGGCAACATGCTCGCCATCAGAGAGTTTCACGAGATGAATGCTGAGGAAATCTACACAAAACTGTGTGAGAAACTAGCACAGGTATGTGTGCGTCATACACCAAGAAAAACAGGGCCTAAAGTCCGCAGCATTCCGAGAGACAGACGAATCCTTATGAGAAAACGCAAGCGATTAAATAAACAAATAGCTGAATCC